ATCAAAACTGGACAAACCCACTGGTTTTCTGAAGAGCAGTCTGACCATCGCCATATTAGTAGCGCTTTATTTCACCTGCTAGGTCTAATCCAAAAATAGGCAGAGGTAGAGTGAGTGGACCCTGCTAGACTACTAGTGGCCTCTTGTCGGTACCTTCCACCTGTTGCTCAAAGTGGCCCTTCTCTTATTTGTGCATAGCTTTTAGTCTCAGTATAATTTAAACAGGTGAGTTATATAAAAATGCATACTCCATACAGTTGTCAAGGAAGGGAAAATTAGCTATAGAGACCAAGACTCTTTTTGTTTATTTCTTCTGTACAGCTGAGCATTTTAACATGGAATTGTGTGGGGACTGGCTTCCTTTTGGAGCTAGCTTCATGTGGCCATTTGAGGAGCCACAGGTTTTCAAATTTCCACATTGGCTTGATTTTTCAGGCTCAAAGGTTGCTGCTTGGTGTAAATAGAGGGGAGTGCTTCCTGCTAGGGTTCAGTGCATGAATCTCAGGCACTTGTGATCTTTTATAAACAAAAACTCCACATCTTTAAACCTGGAAGAGGTCATTGGTAGCCCCAATGAGTCAGCGGGCATTTGATCCAGATTGGAGGAAGACACTCTAGTCTGTTAATCATTTCCTGTACACTATGAAATGTCTTTGAACACAATATATCATGTCATATTGCATTACATCACAGTTTAAAACAGACTTTGGGAGGATGCTGCTGACAGAAGACAAGAGGCCCAGGATCATCTGCTGCTGACAACATGACAGTCTCAAAGACAGGAAATGATTCTCCTGCTCTTTATGAGAGTATGATGCTTCTGTAGGATGAAGAATATTCTTATCATAACTTTTAAATCTATAGACAGGAAAATGAAATTACTTTGTCATGAAGCACAGTGTGTGTGCAGGTGTTCTTGAAAAATAATCTAGGCCACAGGTTACCTCAGAGGATTCCCCAGGATAAGCCTGGAACTACAATCAAATCACACAAGATCCTTGTTGACTTCCCTCTTCAGTCTGAGAGAAAAGTGATTATAATCTGATTGCACAGTGCCCTAAGTGAAGCCAGAGGAGGTAGGGAAATGCTGTAAACACCCACTGCACTCTTTTTGATCTAACACAAGCTCCGCTCAGTAATACCTCATGGGGTGGGGTAGCCTCAGGAACTAAAGTGAAGACATCTGCTGAAATACTACAGCTAACACTGGGTAATTGAAAGCACGTGGGGAATGGTATGTTTTCATAAATAGGTGAAGAAAGTTTCACGCTGGGTTCAGTACATGAATTATGAATGGGAGGGACAGCCATGTATTTTGCCCTGTGCTGCCAGTCTGTAATGTGACCAGGACCAGGGCTTCAGCTGAAGGCCCAGACTGTAAAAAACATAAAAAAGAAATCAAATAAAAGGCCCAACAAACACCACTGGTAAGTGTAATTTGTGCTTTTGCACTGGTAGCATCCTAACTGCACAAGTCACTTGCAAAGTCTGTAAAAATCGACAGTGTACAGTATAGGTATAAAGTAGTTTAGTACCATATGACATATATAAACAGCTTGAGGTAATAGTTTAATGTACTGGGAAAAGCTTTTTTACTCTCTTGCTAGGAACTAGATGAGAAGATAGATTTCATTCTCATGTCTGTATGCTACGTAAATGTGGAGGAATGCTACATGTGAAAAGATGCTTAGCTTGGCTTCCCACAAAGGCTGGAAATGGGGGCAAACATCTATCCTGGCTCTCTCCAAAGGTAAAGAGGCTGTCCACCAACACCTCTGAAGGCACAACTATTTAAAATGTACTGTATCTTCTTTAATTAATGAAGACAAAAAACTAAGTGAGAAAATGTGACATTGTCATGTGCTAAGTTCTGGCAGACTAAATGAGGCCAGCTTGTTCGCTTCAATTTCATTTATTTTACCAATTAAGCTAAAGATCTTTAGCCTATAGCTTTATATAGCTTGGCGAGAGTAGTACAGTATATATACATTTAGTATATATA